TTAAATGGAGTTGGCTCACACGCCTCCATCGCACGCCACTTTGCCTCGCGCTATTAGCTTCATCCCTCTCATTTCCTGCCCAGATCAGTGTGTATAAATATATGTATTCAAAAATCCATTCTCGTGTTTGACTTGTTTAATTCTGCTATTCACTAACGCGATTTAAGTCGATAATTATATGCGAGGATTGACAATATATACATTTCAACATGTATATCTCAATAACAATCAGAAACTATCAAACTGGAGTCAGAGATAGGGGCCACAATGCCATTTCAGTCACATGATTACTTATTCTGTGGAGTTACTTCTGATTTTATATAGTCGAAGATGTGTTATTTATAGGCAATGCGTGCTCATACTGTTACCAGTCAACACATTGATTGGGTTACAAGAAATATTTAAGAAAAGACAATTGTTATTCTCAACAAGAAAGCAAATATTTTGTTAAAAAGGAAGTGTATTTCTAGAGAACTAACTTCGAACTTGAAGTGTTTTGAGACCTAGACGTTATTTCACTTGGATGCAGTAAAAATAGTTTAAAGTTGTTATTTTAAAAACTGTGTGAGAATAATTTTATTAAGTTTACACTTAATTTACTCTTTTTTCTATAAAGTGATTTGTTCAGCAAAGCTGAGTTATTTACACTACAGGTTATCGATCGGTCGAATTTCAGAGTGTATTAACGTACTGTAAGGTTATCATTATATGTGTTTAAAAAGAACTAATCACTTCATTGTGCTTACTTTGCATCGCACATCTTGTTTCATTCTATGTTATTTCTAAACAATTAATGCGCCCTTTTTATTTATCTAAAATCTTGTTTGTACATTGTGCCTTTTTCTATTTGCGGTATGCGGTCATGAAAACAAGTCCAAATTTGCATAAATTGTCGATATGTTGATTTGTTTTGGGTCAATTGTTAATCTTATCGTAATGTTTGTTGATGTGGTAAATGATATATCTTGATGTAAAATTTTAAAGGAATTTACAGATTTTTGTTTACATATATCAATCATGTAATGAGTGTGCAAGTTTCTCATGATCAGTATTTATAAACTTTATACGATCTGAATTTCACCGATAAATTAATTCCTCAACATTATTTTTAAATAACGCCTACCATGTTTTTTACTTATGTCTTTCACTCCCTATATCTCACAAATTTGAACAATTTCTTCTTGAAGTTCATTACCGTGAAGTGTAACCATTTTAATCAAGACACTTATTGTGAATTTTGCATTCCTAGTATCACTTCTTGAAAGCGTAGAAATTCTATTTTAACAAGACTTAAATCTCGATCCCAATGTATTCATAAATATCACTCTAGATAGGCAATGTGTTACAATTGTAATATTGATATTTAGCTTTCTACAACTGATGTGATTTTTAAGATTATCCGATTCAGATGCTGTATATTAATGAGAATGCGAAAAGCAATAATAATAATAATGTTAATAATGACAACAGTTCTTGTTTTCTACTTTATTGTTTTTCAAAGTCAAACATTGACCAAAAGTTTCTCTCTGTAACGTGTTTCCTTGTTTATCAACTTGTTGAAAAACGTTTCTTAATATCATATATATAACTGGAGCTGTTAATCAATTTGGGTGAAGTAAGAATTAGCAGATGGTAAAGTCTAAACTACCGTCGAATTCTCTTCTCATCAAATCTGAAGCTTACTGTTGTCAAATCTGCAAGAACTCATATCATTACATCTCGCTAACAGATGGCATAATCATACCTTATAAACTGTCTGAACAGTAAATTCTGGTCTTAGATAATAAACGATTATCTACGTTAATAAATGTTCACTGGATTTGTTCTTTACCAAATCATTTTCAATTTTATAGATATCTAAATTATTTATGTGGATTAGAGTAACAGCATTTTAAAATAAGGATTGGTTCAGCGAATATTTCTCTTTTCGGCGAATTCATTTTCAAAGATGTACAGTCGTAAATATATATACCCTTTTTCAGGATGATGATGATTACAATAACTACAATAATAGTGATAATAGGTTTCTGTTAAACATGATAGCAGTTAAGTAGAATTAACAAACGTATTAAAATTTTTTAAACAAGGAAAATAATGATAGTTTCATTGTTAAGGGCTTAAATATTCATCATGAAGATAAGTAAGGAAATCATAACTGGAGACGAATGGCTCAGCATGATAAGACGAAATGTAATCAGTGGGATCATAGAAACTGAAATAAACCATGCAATTGGTTCCCTTTATTGAAATAAACCAGTTGGAGGCAGAACGTCTATATAGAAGATGGAAGGGGAAGCAGATAGCTGTACAGGAAGAAAAGTATGGAGAAGGAAAGAAGAGAAACTCATGAGACCTTAAGACTATGGTTGTATCAATGTTTTTTCGACAACCAATTCTGATTTTCTCAGATGTATGACTATCGCTTCGGCAATGTTGAGAAGATGCAATACGACTGTTTTTGGCAGCCTTCTACTTACCTTGTAGATGACTTTGAACTCACAGTCCTCCTTGACTGAGTGACTTGTGTTTACAAGGTGTTCAATTATTAAACCATTTCCTCCTTCTTTTAGCCATGCCGAGTATTGTTCTTGAGTTCTTTTTTAGGATAAATTGCGCATCGAACGACCTGTATTCCACTTCACCGTTTTAAACCATATAATTCAAGTTCATTGAAACCTGAAAATATTTAGTTCTGAAATTCATTAAAGTTATACAATAAGACCAGGCCAACCTAAACACAATGAGTTTTATCCCTAGACAGTTGAAACAGATGACCAAACTACCAATGAACTAACGGTTTTGTTTTGTTCCATTTTATTGCTGTGAAAAATCATGTTTTTTTAATACATATACCATATAGCATTCGAAAATTGAGCTTAATATCGGAAATAATATCAGAAATTAATTTACAATTAACATATTTGAGGAAAGTAGAAGGTAATAAGTTCTTTTACAATATAATTTTTCGAAGAATATTGGTAAAATGTTGCGGCAATTTCCTTTTAAATGATCATTTACAGAGTATTGTATAGATTTATCTAGCTAAATTTTACAACTAAGCTTGACAGTAATCATAATGGCTTATTTAAATATCTTAGACTATGAATTCGTAAGCCAATTTTCAATGTTCCAATGTGAATGATATTACTTTTAAACTTGTAGCTTATGAATAGGATATATTTCTATTCAATAAGAAATTTGAACTTACTGATATATCTCTGGCTGACCAACAATTATTGTCTTCATGGATCAATATTTGCTGTCATCAGTTTCATAACATTTTAGACAACTAGTTCTCTCTTTGTTTACCATCTTATCTAGGTACGGTAACTGCGACTGATTTGTTTCCAATCCAATTTATTGCATGACTTGTTCCCTTTTCTGATTGTCTTTATTTTTAGTTCGCTAATTTTCTGTATACTTGAAAGTCATGCTTTTGTTATTAAATATACTGAATTCTAGTATTTCAAACTGTTCTTCAATATCAGGTTCTTGCTACGCTTCATCCATTTCCTTCGCCAGCGCCTAATTGTTTGAGTGTTATATTTTATCTGTCGTTATTGAGTCCATAATAGAAACGTTCGTATTAAAACAGTTTAATGGTTCCTTAATTAGCAAATATCGTAAGTCAGTCGGAAACCCTGATAGATATTAGTCTCTTTCTTTTAATTAAAATTTAGCGTAAAGTATTTTTGACTGGTTTTTAATTATTAAAATTCACAATCAATTTGACACTGTCACATACACATGACCACATGTGTTTACTATCTTTATTGACGTAAAATGTTTAATTAATGGGTGTGAATAATAGAGTGATTCGTTGATTTATATCTATTTATCTACTTTTCATTATTAACAAAATTTTACTGCTGTTATTATTGCTAATACTATCCTGTTCTTTTGTATGATAATTGGGTGAGACTATAATTTATGGACGACCTTTGAGCGACGCTAAAGTGACCTGAGAATATCCATCTACTTACTAGAGCTAAATGAGGATTATGAAGCACTTTGAAGAATAAGGATTATGATTTACAATTGATGGTTAGCATTAGTAATTAGATTTATGGTTTTCATCATGAACTGACGTAATCTAAAATGCCAAAACGCTATCTAGCCAAACGGATGAATGGATTTCTCGCCAAAATCCAAAACCTGTTATACCAAATCTGATTGGTTCGTCCATAAATTATAGTCTCTCTGATAATTGTATTAAATAGTATTGTGTTCTTTTCATTTTGTACCGTGATAATATTTTCATCTTGATATTACATTGATAAAATTCCAAGGTTTAAATAAAAAAATTATACATATATCGAACAGTCAATTGTCTAAAGTGTACAGTTGGAAAGGTTTTACTGTAATGTATTCTTTTTAGAATCCACTATTGTAGTACTTACAGAGAAATTTGTTCCATCAGTTTGAGAATGATCGATAACTCGATTTGTTTCTACTGAGTTCCATTTTTTGGATGTGGACGTTTCATTAGCACTGAATTTCTGTGAAGGAATCCATCATAAATAGATCCTTGATCATAGTCTGCTGTTAGCCAAAACTTATTTCCGTTTATTTATTTCCATTAGGAATTATGCATATTAAGCTAAACTAACCCGAAAAACATTATTGAATAACATATATCATTAGATGGTACCACGCAAAGCTACCTTATTGATTTTATGAGTTATATAACATCAGTTTTAAAAACAATTTGTCGATTGTTAATCGAAGAAACTTTCAACTCGGACTGTTTTTTGGCTAAACAGCACAATAACTTTATAGATGGTATTTAGTTGGGAAGCTACACACCTATGAAAAATGTTGACATGAATCATGTACTATTGAAATAGTTTACAAATTTTCATTGTATATTATCCTAAGTTTTGTATTGTGACTAGGTAATGCATAGTTATTGCTTTTTAGTTATTAATTTAAGTATATTAAACCATTTTACCATTCAAAAAAGAGATTACCATCTTAAAAACCATTTGTTTCTGTTTCAGACCTGTTTTACACCTATGTGGTCATGATTTTGCTGGGTATGGAGTGATGTGGAAAAAAGGAACTCTCTTTTGTAATGCTGCTTTACAGCTCACTTCAACATTTCCGTCTACTGGTTTACCTAGGCGTCATTCCAAAAAATCAGTTAAACACAAGTCACATGACTCTAATGAGTATTCTTATGCGCTTGGTGATTTTCGAGAACCCCCACTGTACACAGCGAAACCCAATGGTCGACCCCGACCTCCAAGATGGCAACGAGGTTTACCAAAACAACTATCTCGTTTATTTTCAACTAACCAAAGTTCCACTGGTTGTTCTTTTTTCCGGCGTACTCGTACACTCAGTTCTGTTGTAGTTACACCGACACAGAGTTCAAAAGCTGCAGTAGCTCATACCAGCGCTGATATTGGATTTATATATGATCCAGATATGCGTGCCGGGATTGGTGCAATGGCTGTTAACGATCCAACATGTAGTGGTAGTACACATATAGGATATGCTAGCGGTGGAACTGGTTTATCTGGCAGTAATGTATGCTCTTCTGCTTGTCGTCGCAGTCCTATCGTTGTAGATGTTTATGTTGTCAATGATGATCAAAGTGTAATCCTTCCCCCATACGCCAGTTCTCTAATAAATATATTAAATACTCAGGAATGTACAATTCATGATTAATCACAATTATTATTATCATTTCATTTTATTTATTCATAAAAACGTAACTTTATCGATTTATAAAGTAAACTGTTGTAATATTGTTCACACATATCCATGTCATTTTTCGAATGCATAAACTTAAACATAATTGTTAGGAGAAATAACGGGAATTGATTCTTTTAATTTGAGTTTTATCACCTTACAACGTTGTTTAAAGAAGCAGCAAAAATGTAACGTGAGTTGAACTTCAAGAGTAACACACGTTTCTCTATCTACTTTACAGATATAATTTTTATCTAGTTAACTCAAAGTATACATTTTTTACAACCTTATGTGTGTATTATGCATAAATAATTAAATCTGTATATTTTTTTAAGAAAATATTTTACAAGCAAACTAATTCTTATCTAAATTATTTTTAGTAACTGTTAAATGAGATAAATAAATGTATTAAACATTTTCGTAAATGGTGTTTTGAATATTCTGGGATTCAAATGAATGTAAAGATATCCGAAAAGGTTATAAGTCAGAAATGACGTAATGAGTTCCTGTTCTTTGGTTAATTATTTTAGTTTATGGTGTTTTATGACACGAAAACTAATATAAATACAGTACAGTATTAAAACTTGAAAAAAGAACATGCAGAGGTAAATGTGGTATTTCTGGCTTTTTGGTTTTCTAAACGTGATCATTGAAATTCTATGATTTCGGTGCATATGACACTCATAAGTATGGTCTTATTTTCTTGGTAATGAACAATAACAATGCTTGGTTTGATTAAGGTAAGCAGATTCTTACGAAAAAGTATACTGTCATGTCCTTGTAGATATACAAGTGAAAATTTGAGAAAACAATCTGAAGTGAATAACTAAAGAAGATAATGAAGCCACTGAATAACACAAACTTGACTCGAACGTTTTTGTTTCGGCTGTGTTCTGCATACATATAATCTTTACTAAGTATATATATCGCTTGTAAATATTTTCTTAAGTTATTTGATTGAAAATATGGTGTACGTTCGAATTGTAATGTCTTAATTATTAATAATAGTTAGTTGGTTGGCCTGTGTTATTCGTTATAAAATTATCTTTATGAGTATACTGTTTAGTCTTAAAAGCGTTCACTTACTTATTGTATCACCCAACAAGATCCAAGTAAAAATAACAAAATCCGAATGTTTGATGTTATAGTTGAAAAATTACCCATTTTGTGAGATAGCCGAAACAACATTAACAGTACAAAATCTTAAAAAACAGTAAACGTTCATTGAATATCCATAAATATTGACGGGATATGTTCGTAATTTTCATTTTTGAAAGCTTATGATGTGAGAAATGCGTGTGTCCTTTTCTTAATATCTTACATGGAACTTGAATAATATTGTGGATATATGTGCAACGATTCGATCCTCTAAGCGAAATTCCGAATCCTCATTATTATTAAGAAAATGCATTATACTTCTACTCCACGATAACATCAAGATAAAATATTGAAGGCTGTTCCTAATGAAAAGCTTAGGAGTCGCAGTAGCTCTTGAAAATGAAGTTTAGGATATAACTAAGTGACAATGGTAGATGGTCGAGTGATTTGTTGAAGTCAGACATTAACACCGTCGGATGCTGAGTAGTCTAGAAGGTAAATGTCCACGCGAAACTGAAGTTCCTGGGTTAGATCCCTGCTTGCGGGAACGTGAATGCATGAATGCCAAATACTAGGACGAAACGGCTGTCCAGGTTTTCAATGATGACCCAACATTGATCGATTTATGATTTTAATGAAATTCAACAATATAACCCTATACTGACGATTTGATTATTGTTACTAGTTTTAGTTATTTCATTCTTAAGTCAGTAATCGTGAACTAGAAGTTATTGGTCTATTCATGGTGGATCTGTCTTAGTTATAATTTTTGAACTTCGAGCTAATTATCACTTCTCAGTGGTTTCTCGAAATAGAGGCTTTGTGTTATAGGTAGTGGAGCGTCGATTAAAAGCAAGCTACCTATTTGCGTAATATCTGTAAATTGAACAAACCCACAAGTATCATTATTAACTTGTGATTGGTCTGCTCAACTACAGTTGTTTAAAACCCTAAATATGTTTTCATCAGGGCAGTCAAACGCTTTTTAAGGTGAACATGACAAACACTTATGTAGAAGTAACCAGTTCATATTCATTCAAAAATATTTAATGTGCGTCATTACAAAAGCAATCAAAGTAGCCAATATGTAACTTCATCGATTTTCGTTATGTTCTTGACAACCGCATCTACCAAAAACTAGTTCATTGTGAAAACATTAGTATAAAAGTTTAGGTTTTATAAGTGGATAACAATGCTGTGACTGTTATATAAGCGATAAAAAATATGTACCAAGCATACAATACATTAGAAATGATTAATTTTGTTACAAGATGTCTTCACATATAATTCATAAAATATCAATTTTCTTTACCACCAAAGTAAAAACATTGAAGTGATTTGATTGTTCCTCCTGGTTCACTTTACAAAATTTATATAATCTGGAAGAACATTAAACTATTACATCAACCTTGTATACAGCAACTTATGAACTTTTGCAAATGTTCGTTTGTTTTTAAAAAAACTATATTTATTACTAATCAAAGAATTTACACAAAATGAATTAGTCTATCCATTTCATAAACATTTGGCATAATTCCAAGTCATCAAATTTAGGAAAATAAAAACAAAACATCTAACTAAATTTAAGCGAAATTCAATCTTTTGGGGTTCATTTTACCTGTCGTGAGAAAAGATAAATTTTTCCTCAAAGCTGTCAAGAGAACTTTCCCACAACCCTCAACATTACTCAATTTTCGCTCAAAATTCTGCCGGGTTGACGGATGTTTTCTTAGAGAGACCCACTTTCTGCAAATGTTTATGATCTGCTTCGATTCTAAATCAAGTGTCGCTTTAAGAAAACTTCAGATACCCACTTATCCTTTGTTTCAACTCAGTAGAGCTCAGTGACAATTCTGATTTGCATGCAGACATGTCTTCAACTGCAAACATTTTGAATCCAATGTACAGAAATATTAATGAAGTTTTACTTGGGTCACAATTATCCGCGGTCACTAAGATTCAGTAGAATAACAATCAACAGCTTGTTCGGAGTGTCCTAACTAACTAGAAAAAAATGCTAAATTAGAGTCTCATGTTTTTCAGTTAGTTATACGAGATACCGGTCGGTGAATCTAGTTGTTTTTGTACATTTCTCTTAATAGTTAGCATGGGAATATAACTAGATTGAAATAAATATTCTGATGAAACTTACAAATTAACGAATGAATGAGCTAAACATCTTCAAGTTAATGAAGATTTACAAAATATTCAAGAATAATCGATCAATATTTACACGAAGGCAAAGTATACATAAACTCTAAAACTCTATCTTTGATATGTTTTCATTGGACTTGTATGTACATTGTACGTTGAAGGTAAGTGAAAAGTAGTAAATATAAAGGAATCTGAAAGAAAAAGAGAAAAACGAACACAACGACACAATAGGTTCAGAAAATCAACTTAAATTCATAACAAAATCAATCTATAACATTTGACAGAAATACGAATGTGAAATCATGACAATCTAACAATCGGAATTAAAAGTTGATACAATAAAATTTTAATTTGGTGACAGGTGAATGGACTAAAGATCATCTCATTTGGATTGATTAATAGTGACGAAATTAACATATTTGTTGGCACGGTTTATAAATATTCTGACTAATAAGTACTTCAAAATTATTCATGCAATTGTATCTTAAGAAGTATTTCTATATTTATTTAATTTGTATTTTATTCATTCTTAAAGGTTAGTGATAACGTCATAACACTTGTATTATTCTTATAGAAAAAAAAACTATGATATATTTGCTGATTCATATAACTTTAGTGTATATATTTTAATCTACATTCAACTTCATTGAATTAACTTGATGCCTCGTTTTTTCTGATAATATTTGCATTTTCTTCCCCGCCCACGTATATCATTTATCACTGTTTTTTCAGCTCAAATGTCTACAAAACCACGTGAGTCACTCATGTGCTCTTCGTGTACATGTAGTATATACATAGTTTAACTGGCACTGGTCCAAGCATATTATAGATTGTTGATAAAACACCTACGCTTTCTTTTTATCCTCTTCTAGTCATCACAAACAATTTGCTGTTTTCGCTTTTATTTTGTATGTTCAGTTGTCAAAATTCTGTAACATATGTGTGGTTTTTAGTATTCCCGATTTTTTTAACGCCTAAACCAAAATTAAAATCAATAAATGTATGTTTTTTAAGGGGTATAATCAAATGAAGTCATAGTATCTCTCTGTAGGCTTTTTACCTCAGTCTGTTATATACTATATGATGGTACATAACTTCAATTACATGTTTAATAAATTGTATTGTGGGATCATGACGTGTTTTTCTATGTAAAAGTTAAGGATACAATAACTAACTACCATAGTTTTTGTTTAACATAGAGGCTAAATCAACTAATGTCACTAAAAAATACATAGATTTGGAGAAAACATCTACAACTGTATCGTTTCACAACTGAGTATAGCAATCGTTAAATCATTTTTTTCCATCAGTACGTTGCAAATTCCAGCCCCTTTCCACCTATTTCGATTTGAGAAGATAGGCTGCACCATTTCCCTAACTCAAGAGTAGGATATGATTCATAGCTGAGCGTATAAACCCGCACTTCCTAAAAGAGTTTCGCAATAGTGACAAACTTATTTGAAAATCTTTAAAACTTTCAGGAAGTATCTGGTTGCTGCTTAATTATTTTATCGATCCAATCAAGATCTATTCATTATCCGTAGATATTCATCTAGATTACAGTCTATTATATACTCATGGTCTTCATTTTTTGATCACTGATATATACGAAGATTTTCTGTCCAACTAAATGTTGAATGAAAGTAATCGTCACCGCAATTATAAGTTCTGAATAATTTAAGGGATATAGCAAAATATAAGTAGATTGATATATAGGAATGATA